AGATAATTCTAATCGTTTTGTTTTATCCTTCCTTAAATAACGACCCGATTTAAAAACAATAATAAAATTAATTACATTTTATGTAACAAACAATTTAATATTATACAAATAAAAGACATAAAACAATTGTCTTAATTAAGAATAACAACTACTGATAATATAAGTTCAAAAGAATGCAAAAATATTGCCATTAATATTCTGTAAATATTTTTTATACTATTTAGTGTAATACAAACAATATACTTATTTCATACACATAAATAGGAAATAAAAACATGCAATGGGTTCTAGAAAATCTACTACCCAGAAATTGAATATAGTATTTAATCAAATTCTACATTAAGGGCACCTTGACTGATATTTTAAAAAACTTACGGCAGCATTTCCTCCCCACTTTCCTTTGCCTGCAGCTTTTGCTGCATCCTCAAGTTCTTGTAAATGTGCAAGCTCAGGTGTCTGCCTCACTCCTTCACGCCTTACAGATACCAAACCTTCAGAGACCATGGATTCTGTGATATTTTCTGCTGTTGAAACATCTTTTCCCAAATAAACCACTCCATATTCCCTCTGAGAGTTTGGTGGCTTCTCACAGGTAAAAAGTACTTCCTCACCAATAAGTTTCTTTCTCAAAAATTCTCTTGCTTCCCAAGCCCATGGTTCATCTTTAGTTTCCTCCAAGCTGTTGAATTATAACAATTATATAAACAACACATCAATTTAAAAATTCACTGAAATAACAACACAACTAATATTAAATACATAATAGTAAGACTTGCATTATAAAAATTTGGTGTTTTACTTACTTTTCAATTGCTCGTCTGGCCAACTTTGGAGCAACAACATTAGAGAAAAACAATGTTTTCTCTGGAGGAGGGGCACCAACGTGTCCCCTTATTATCACAGAATCGCCAGAAAGAATCTAAAAACCAGAAAAATATGCTATTCAATGCCTACATGGCAATAAAAGTTATTTCCATCAATGTGCTTAAATAATAGGTTATAATCAAAACGTGATAATAAAATAACACTAAAACTATTTTTTTTGTAATAAGAGAATGAATTATACTTGAAAAATTATTTTCTCCTTATTTTACAGCAGGTAATTTAAAAAACAGTCATATTAAAAGTTCCAAATCCCATATGTGGACAGGTGCCAACCAAGCACTTATTGGTGACAGAAATGAATGAATAACGGAATTATTTTATTAAAATCGGGTCTTGTCTAAATTATTTAAACAGTATAATAATAAGATAAGTGCCTATTTTTAAAAATTTTATTTTTCCTACCTGTTTTACAATTCCACGTTTTGGCTGCGGCTGCGGAGTCGTCATCGTGAATGAGCCATGCACAAATCTAAGAGCACGAAAGGACAAAACAACTACTACAACTACTCGTCATCATCGGTCTCTTCTTCGATAGTCACGTGACTTAAAGTGAAAGTAACAGAAAGTAAGAGATAATAATTATTATAATATTTTAATCTGATATTAATTGTATTCATTAATGTATAAAAGAAAACTTTATACTCATCAAGACAATATATCAATAATCAATAATAAATTGCAAAAATATCATAAACGTTAGACAAAGATGGCAATACCTCCAAAACTTTTTAAAGCAAGGTTTACCTTAAAAAACACCACAATCACCCACATTTTCTCATTTACTTTGATGTGTACCTAATTAATCTTTTTTGTCTTTTAACAAGTAATTGTCAAAACACTCATTAGTATATGGTATGTCTCTTTTTTTCCATCATTTCAAGTAAACACTAGTTGTCAGTTAATCACAAACAATTTGAAGTCCTCTATTTTCTCATCATTATATTATAGCTTTTCATAAATGTAAAAAAAATCCTATTCATCTATACCTACAATTTACCTTATACTTTTTTTTTAAATCATCACAAAAAGGCAACAAGTAATTGCATTTTCCATTTGAATTTGGAAAATCTACAGGAAAAATACTAGTATTATAAATAACTTTCACTTAATTCTGAAAAATTGTTTATTTAATGTGCAAAAATAGTATGTTACAGTAAAACATTCTCATTCATAATAAAACAAAACTACAACCTATTAAAAAATATACATGGAATTCATAAAAAGTAATTTTATCACACAGTGATTCTGATTTTCAAAATACACCAAGGAAACAAAATATTAAATGTATTCATTATATTTAACTAACTTCACCTTCTTCTTCTTCACTGGTCATCCCATGATCATCTTCAATTGTGCCTTTAGAAAACATTTGTCCAATCTGTTTGTTTTCTTGATGCTTATTTGGATACATGGCAGTCCTCGTCCAACCATTATATATTTTTTCTCTTTGTTCTTTCGTCAGATCGAAGGACTCGTCTGATAATACTCTTGATAACATCTTTTGTCTAAAATGCTCCTTTGCAGACTGCCACGTTCTATTTATTTGTCTACTAGCTTCAAACTCCTGCCAGACTTGCCGTCCTCTCAGTCTATGATAAATTTGTTTCTCTACAATGTACTGTAAAATCGCATTTTCTTCTTTACTTGAATAAGGTACTCTGTATCCGGCCATTTTATTTATTTAATAAAAAGTTGCAGCGTCTCAAAGGTACGGACTCTCTGGATAATCCTGTTCCCCTTTTTATGATGTGGTTATTTTAAATCGAAGAATTTTGAAGTTTCTTATTTTAAACACACAAATATTAGTCTAAAGAGATGAAAGCTTATCCACTACAACTAATAAAACACAGTATTATAACTAACTATGCATTAGCCTAAGCCGTAACCTTTTAACCCTTAATGTTCTTATTCGCCGTATTGCCGCCATATTGTGCCTTTACCCGCTTTTTTATATTTCTATGCATTTTCTATATTTAAATTCATAGATACCTGCGTGGTGTATAGTACTACCGGTAGGTGGTAGTATAATGGAAAAATTAATGAGAAAAAATATAAAAAATTAATAAAAAAATAATTCAGTAAATAATAACAATTTCACTTCAAACTATTCCTAACTCAATAAAATAAAATTATCTACAGAATGGTACCAAATGTATATAGATTAAATGTGGGATTTTTGCTAAAAGGGGCACATAGGTGTTCTTTTTGTAATATGTATGATGATAAATACAGCATAATTATTAAAATTTAATAATCTCTTGCTCATTTTAGACCTAAACCCAAACATTATAAATGTGTTTCCGTACTTCCTAATATACCAGTGCATTTACTTAAACCAACAACTTATTTTTTGTTACTTTTTTCCTTTAGCTTTGATTAATTCTTAATTTATAATCAATTACAATACTTTGGTAGTATTACAGAAAACCTTTTTATTATGAGCTATGTACATTTTTAAATAATTATAAAACAATGAATTAATTTAATAGTACTACAGAGTCAAATTAAATATAAATATAATACAAGAAGTATAAATAAGCTAATATAACTACGGTGATTGCAAAGATAATTTATTAATTCACTATTTTAATCCAAGCTTCTTCCTCTTCGCCACTTTCGTTAGGAATTCGAACCTTCACTAACTGCACTGGACCACTGGACGTTTGAATTATTTGACTGCGACTGCTACTAAACATATCCTCTGTTATTTCTTGATATTCTTCGGGTCCTAACACTTGATGACTATCCGAGTTATCTTCTCCATCGCCTGTCTCCTCTTCGTCGCCATCATTCGTGAACTGAATTTGCTGTAAAACATTTCTTTCTGTTTATTTTTTGTACGAATTTCAATAACTTTTTAACGTAAAGGCAGAATCTCAAAGTAGACGAAACAGAATTTTTTCTAACCTGTCCGTTTATAATTATATGTCCCACGGTCTCTGACTCTTCCATATTGTCTTCGTCGACCTGATCGCTTACTACGAGAGTACCTTTCGAGTTACCGAAAACATCACCACCTTCTATTAGAACATGTTCTGTGATGAACAGTTTCGTATCTTCATTTCCCTCTTCTTCAATTCCCTCCAAAGCTTGCAAACTGCTAATATGTTCACCATCCACAATTTCCATTTCACCATCGGCATTCACCTACATGCCAAAGAAAAAAAAAAAACAAACAAATAATATAATATAAATAAAACCACTTGATATATTTCAGAAACTTAACGATTGAATAGAGGTGTGTGCCCGAATTACTAACCGTGATAATTTGGTCGTCGTCGGTGGTAAGTCGGGGCTGATTGACAACGATAGTATCGTTCAGATGACCTTGGGACTGCATATGTTGGTAAAGAAGAGGTTTGCGCATAAATCCCGCGCCACATACCAAACACTCATACGGCTTCTTGTCCGAATGTACAAACCGATGAGCATTACGATTGTCGCGACTGTTAAATGCTTTACCGCATACTTCGCACAAGAAAGGCTTCTCCCCCGTATGAATGCGACGATGTTTTTTAAAATGTTCAGGATAAACGAAAGTAGCACCGCAAACATTACATTTGAAAGGACGCTCGCCTGTGTGTGCCGCTTTCGTGTGATAATCCAACAAACTATAAACAAAACCAAATGTGTAAATGAAATGGTTTTTAATTAATTACTTGCAAATCATAATTAAAAGGTCTCGCGGCAGGCGTGAATCAGTTCTAATGTTTCGCTACCCTTCTTTGGCAGTATCTTCAATAGTGACCAGTCGTGAAAGTAAAACAGGTCAAAGAGAAATTAGCAATTCGTTGACGCCGTCCGTGAAAGCCTTAGGAACCACGACTACTAATAAATAGGTGACACCCACATACATACCGCCTCCTTTTAAATCCTTTGCCACATTCTTGACATTTATACCGTTTGTCGTCGTAATGGGTGGCTCTTTTATGCGACTGTAAATTCGATCGTTGGCTAAAGGTGGCACCACAAAATTCGCATTGATACGGACGTTCGCCAGTGTGGGTGCGTTCGTGGTCGCGTATTTCCGCCTTTCTCGCAAATGCTTTGCCACAAAGACCACAAATAAAAGGTTTATAACCAGTGTGGACGATCGAATGCACCTCCAAATTATGAGCAGAGCCAAACTGTTTACCTATTAGTAATAAAAAGTAAAAATATATTATATAAATAAATTTGCATCTTCGTCTTCAGTAATAATTTAATTTCAATAGGATTTAAAACAATAAAAGCTTCTAGTGATTAAAACAGCAAAAACGTACTATAGAAAACTACTACAAAGATGATAAATCTACTAACCACAAATATGGCAGGCAAATTCTTTAACGCCAGAATGAGTGCGCTCATGTTGTGTCAAATTCTGCTGACTCAAGAAAGACTTATTGCACTGCTGACATTGGAACGGTCGAGGTCTGACCTCGTGAGTCTTCTCGTGCGCTTTGAATGTATATTTAGATGCAAAATCTTTACCACAAAGCGAACAAATATATGGTCTGTTTCCAGTGTGTGTATTAATATGTTCCTCAAGAAGATTTTTTGAACTAATCATAAACAGAAAGAAAAAGGTAATATTTAAAAGTAATAAAGTTGCTTTTTAATATAAAACCTACCTGTATCTTTTTCCACAAATATCACACGTCCATGCTTTATTCTGCGGATAATGCATACGTCTGTGGATTCTAAATAAGCGCAAGTTGCTGAAAATCCTGTTGCAAATTTCACACTGGAAATCGCCCTCTTCAGTGGCAACATGTTCGTCCAAATGCAGGGATAATTCGTTACGTTTTCTGAAGTCCTGGCCACAGACATCACATATGTAAAGTCGCGAATCGTGAGTGCTTCTCACATGCTGTATTATGGCTTTGGCAGCACCACAAACAGTTTGTTCACCATCACATAACAAACATGTGTACAGATCACCTTCTCGAGACACGACCTGAAATTGGTAAACAAATAATAACAACAGCTAACTAATAGACAACAATAATAAAAAATGGGGAATATGTTCTTAAAGGATATATATCAATGAATGTTTTTATTTGTCAATATTTAACAAATAAATTACTATTAAAAACTCCTGCTACTGTATCAAATATAATTTGCAATAATCATTCTGAATGATCCAATCTATTTATGTTTCTATTAATATATTTTTAAATATGAATTAATTATAAAATCATTTCTTCAGTTTGTTTACTTATCTCTAAAATGATTAGTATGATGGATTACCACAATTAGATAAAGAAATAATTGAATAATTAAAAGTGCACTTACTGAGACTGGGGCCTCTTCTTTAATTTTTTTAATTTTCTCAGCATCCCGCTTTTTCAGTATTAATGGTTTTTCACTAGCTTCTTCTGTATCAGGTTCCACCTTAATTTGAGCACTGCCTGCCTTTCTTTCCAAAACTTTTTCATTAGAAATAATGATTAAATTTTTGGAACTTTCACTTGCTTCCAAGTTTGATTCTGAATTATTTATAGTGCCTGAATTAACAATATTTATGTTCTGATAATTATGAAAATTTTTTTGTTGAGATGTAACATTTTGCATTTTAACACTTGAATCTTCTCCGTGTATTTTCTCTAATTCCATTTCAATATCTGTCAGAGTGTCCATTTTTCCAACTGTTCCCTAAAATTATCCAATAAAAATAAATATACAGACTTTACCCTAAAAGATTATCACCTGTGTATCATCATCAGAAGAAGGAATATCTAATATAGTCTTAGGTAAGTGTACTGACTCATTTTCTTTTTTATTAGATATATCTACTTCACATTTAGTCTCCTGTAGTGATTTCTTGTAATTATCTATCAAATCAGATTTTATATCTGCCAGTCTCTGTTCCAGTTCTTCTAATTCATCAATTAGTTTAAAGCATTTCTTACATATTAATAATGAATGAACTGTATCTTCTTTTATATCCATATTCAAAATATATGATATAACATCCTTTAGAGGCCGTTCTCTACATGTTAAACTCTAAAAAAGATACAATCACAACAATAAACATTAAACAGAAGAATCACGTACTTACGTCTTTGTTGAATATCTGAACCGAATTTCGTGTAGAATATCCTACCCTTGAACTGCATACTAGACAGTGTGGATTTTCTCTCACAGTAAATGTAACAGACATTCTGAAAAAATACGATTTTTTTACGATAACGTTTGTTTTCGTACAAATAACAATAAGGCGTAAGTTCCATTGTCGAAGGATATTTAAATTTCGATTGCCAGTTTAATGCACGTAACTTATACAGCAAAATTCTTAATAACACCAACATTACTGACAGTTTGACAATTTATTAAATGTCCCCTTAAAACTTCCCTAGAATTAAATTAATTTCTTTTCGATATTGTAAATATGTCGGACATAAATGCAATTCAACGTTTTTTTTTCTTTAATATAGGTTGTTTTATGTTTTGGATTTGAACAAATTTCCCAAGTTAATAAAACAAAATTTACCTGTTCAACATAAAGGAATAATTTAGGGAAACATTTGTTTTTTACGAAAACCAGGGCTGACGAACAAATGTTGCCAAGCTTGCGAAGTAACCATTCCATGAACCACGAACTCTGACACAGCCTGCTCGATACACTTTCGTATATCATCGTCGCGCATTATGGCGTCTTCGAGGACAAGTGACGTATTAACCAATCATAATCGTATTTGATTTTCAAAAATGACCATATTACTTGAGAAGTTTTGTTTATATTTGTCTTTAAATTAATTTTAAAAATAACTAAAATAGGTGATACAAGTTTAGCTAATTAAATGGTAACTGTGATGTGCATATCTAATTTAGAAGACAAGAAATATTTTGTTCGGTGACATAACCTTATAAAAGGTAAGGAAGGTAAGTATAAAAGAATAACATCAAAGTTATAGAAAAATTATTAACACGCCAAAGTTCCTTTTATTCTTTCCACTTTTACACCTTTATTTAGTCGGTACAAAAACAACTATATTAAAATTATGAAAACCAATATTTAAGCATTTTTATAAATCATACCCATTCTATACATTTGTATAACCAGAATAAAACCACTTGTTTAGAATTACAACAATTTAATTTGTAAACTGGTATTCTCCTCTCTATAAGATTTCTCATTGTTGACCTTTCTGCATCGCATCTATTTTAAAAGTTCCATTACAATACAATGTGTCTTCATATTAAACAAAAAGCACACGCTAAATACCTCTGACTAGAATAAAAAAATTAAAAATGATCTGTACATTTTTTATTTTCTTATATTTACACTTATAAATTACATATCTTCAGTACTCCACTTATAAATTTCCTCTTGCTGAGCCCTCTGAGAGTTTTGTACTTCAAACCACCTTTTTTCATACCCATTGGAACGATCAACTCCATCCCATCTGTGTCCAGGTGGAATACCAAATCTATTTGGCATAAATTCCCCTTGATATGTTGGCTTCTCTGGAACAAAAAATATTGCATTTTAAATAATACGTTTTATTGGACATCGATATCACTTTAAACAATTTATGGACGACAATTTTTACCTGGTTTTCCAATTTCAATGTCTGTTTTCTTTTTCTTTTTTCGTATGTAAGCCAACATTGGATCTCCTTCTCTTTCTTGTTCTTTCAGGAAATTTTCCAAGTCTTCATCATCAGCATATCTAGCTAATGGTTTACTCATCTCATACAGGTCTTGTTCAATTTTTTCGTTTTGTTCTTCTACCTGCTTTAAACCCTTGCCCCACTTCATATACTTCTCTTTATTTTTAGCTTCTTTTTCTTCTTTTTTCTTTTTTTCTTCAGCTTCTTTGTTTAAATCTCTGATTTTTCCTGTTTTTCGATCTCTCATTACAACTGTTGCATTTTTTCCTGAGACTTCTTCATTTAAACTTTCAAATATTTTGTTTTCTCTTATTTTGAACGCTTCATTTTCTTTAACTAATTCCTGTGCATTTTGTAATCCCGCCTTCTTTCCTTCTAGTGTTTTTTCCATTTTGTCACTAATTATCCTTTTTTGAGGAATGACATATTTATTTTTCCTTACACCTGGTTCATCTATGCTTTCATGATACACTCTTTTCTGAGGTGGACTTGAATCTTGATGTTTCTTTAAATGTGTTGAACTTATATCTTTATCTTTTTCAATATTGTTTTCATATTTTTTCTTTCTTGGGGGGCTCATATCCTCAGAGTTTTCTTTTGCTGCTATGGATTTAATTCTTGTAGGACTGAAGTCAGTTTTGCTTTTTTTAAGACGAGGGGGACTAAGATCATTATTTTTCTTACTAGAAATTAATGAAGTAGTTTCTTGTCTCTGTGAATCCAATGGTATATCTCTTTGTCTTGGTGGACTAACATCTCTTGAATATCTTTGTCTTGGTGGACTAAGATCTCTTGAATTATCCATAGTTCTCTTTCTGGGTGGACTAAGATCTCTTAATTTATCTGTTATATTTATGGATGAACTATGAACTCCTGAATTATCTATTCTACATCTAGGTGGACTAAGGTCTACTGAACTGTTGACCATTTCATTTTGTTGTGGACTAAGGTCGTTTTTGTTTCTGCTTGATGTCTTTTTTATGTTAGACTTTTCTTTTTTCAGCATTTCGGCTTTGTTTTTACTTATCCTAAAAGAAAGTTGTTGAGCTGCTGTGCTTTCTTTCTCTGTTGATTCTTCATTTTGATCATTTCCAATAGGTTTCCACAAGTCACTTTTTCTGTAATCGTCAATCCTTAAACTTAAAGGCCTTTCATCAATTACTCCAACAATTTGAGGTGCATCTTCACCACCGCCTAATAATTCTTCTGCCTCCTCCGCAGTATGAATGTGGGTGACAACGTCGACATCGTCATCAATTATTTTCACCCTTAAGAAAAAATCATGATTGAATTAATTTCAATTTACAAGAAATAAATGAAATACAATTATATACCTCGTTTCGGATTGTCTCTGCTTATCCTTCTTCTTCTTTTTTTTAGTTTTGTCCTTTCCACCTGATAAGTATCTTTTGAGATATTCTTTTTGATTAATTGATGAAGATGCCATTATACAAAACACAAAACTATTAGTATAATTATTTCAATTAATATTTTATTAATTTCTACAATTTGTCTCGTTTTCATAGGTTATGTTTAACATATATTATTTACGTTTTGATTTACAGTATATGTTTCTTTAATCTATGGTTTTGATTATTCTGACCTTCGAGCTTCATAAATCCATACAGCCAAAGGCTGAAATATACAGGGTGTTTTTTTGAAGCAAAAATATTTGTTCTAGAAAATTGTCAGAAATTTAAAAATACCTAAAGTATTAAGGAGTATGTCTGACGGCAAGTTAAATCAGTTAATGCTTGTTAATACTATTCATTTAATAAATTTATTATTTTAGATTTATTAAAAAAAATAACCAAAATCGAAGAACAAATAAAGTCAATACAAAAAGAACAAGCCAAACTTAATGAAAAATTGAGAATATTGAATACGGAACGCGATGAACTTAAATCAAAATATAATTTGGAGAAAACAAAAAAGGAATCTGAAAAAGATTGGAGTGGAAATTTCCCATGGACCGAAAAGGTTTTTGAAATATTGAAAAACATATTTAAACTGAAGGAATTTAGGTCGAAACAACTGTCAGCAATAAACGCTACACTATCAAAAAAAGACGTTCTATTATTGATGCCCACGGGAGGTGGAAAAAGCTTATGTTACCAGCTTCCTAGTTTAGTTGAGAGAGGAACCAGTCTTGTTATATCACCTTTAATATCTCTAATAGAAGATCAAATAATAAACTTAAAGAAACTTGGAGTCTCAGCAGAAACCATTAATTCTTCCACTTCAAAAGAATCAAAGAAAAATATTTACCAGTATATGGCGAAAAATCAGGGGACTGTCATAAAACTGATTTTCGTTACACCAGAATGGCTCGCCAAAAGCAAAATGTTTATGTCCAATTTGCAGAAATGTTATGCCTTAGGAAATTTAAATAGGATTGTAATTGGTATTTATGCAATTTATTTTTTGTTCATTTTCTTATTCATTATGCCCTTTTTAGATGAAGTTCATTGCTGTTCTCAGTGGGGACATGATTTCCGGCCCGATTATAAATATTTAGGACTATTAAAAGGAATGTTTTCTGATGTCCCCATTCTGGGACTCACGGCAACTGCCACAATGTCCGTTATTTTAGATATTCAAGAAATGTTGGATATAAGTGGGTGTACGGTATTAAGAGCACCGTTCTTCAGACCTAATCTCTTTTATGAGGTAGACAAGAAGTCGTATTATATGTCTTACAAAAAAGTATCTAAAATTGGCATTTAGGTTTTGCCAAAACCCTCCGATGCAGCCGCTTGTTTAGACTATTTGGAAAAACTGATGACAACTAATTTTAAAGAACAGTCTGGTATCATATACGCACTCTCTATAAAAGACACCGAAGAACTTTCTAAAGGTTTACGAGAAAGAGGTCTGAAAGTTCATTACTACCATGCTAATTTGGAACCCGAAGCTAGAAGTGCTATTCATGAAAGATGGCTTCGCAATAAATACCAAGCGGTAATAGCCACGGTAGCTTTTGGAATGGGAATAGGTACAAATTTTGTATTGTTGCAGTTGTTTTTGAAAATTGATTGAAAAAACTTCCACATTTTCTTTAAACAGATAAGCCTGACGTTCGTTTTGTGATACATCACTCTCTTCCAAAAAGTTTAGAAGGTTTCTATCAAGAAAGTGGTAGAGCGGGACGAGATGGTAAACCAGCAAGATGTATCGTACTGTACAAGTTATCCGATTACTTCCGGGTTAGTTCTTTAGTGGGATCGAAAGTAGAAGAAAATAAAGTGAAAGCTTCTCTGGAATACTGTTTGGCCCAAAACACGTACGTTGCATTTACAGTTTTTAATTTACCAACTAAAGAAATTACAGTTTCCTTTATTTATACCAGGTGTCGCCACAAACAAATAGCATCACATTTCGAAGACGGTTTCGAAACAGTTCGCTGCGAAAAAATGTGTGATCATTGTAAAAATCCCCGAAAATGTCTAGAGGTGGATGTTACAAGTGTTTGGAAAGATATTTATACAATTATGGAAAATGCCGAATCGAACGGTGTAAATTTGACTTTGCTCAAGTTAATAGATGCTTGGTATTCTACTGGAGCAAAAGAGCTAAGGGTGGATACTGTTAAAAAACCTCGAATGGACAGAATAACTGCTGAATATTTAGTCGCGAATTTTCTACAAAAAGGACTCTTAAAAGAAGAAAAGAATTACACTGCTTATTCGGTCAATGTTTACTTAAAGATCAACCGAAAGAGTGATGCTATGAAAAATAGAATATTAGTAACATTTAAGGAAGATGCTATCCCTAAAGGTTTATTACCCTTCAACAAGGATAGCGAAGAGCCACCTCCGAAACGTATGAAGACATAAAATGGTCCCTGATTTAGTTAAGACATGAAAACCACTCTCAATCTAATTCTAAGGTTGAAAGTACAAACAGTGATTTTTTTTTATTAAAACCTGTACACAAAAGGTTTTTTATCGTAAGTCATTTTTTATTAAACCTAACCCGACCTAAACCATAATCCAGCAAATAAATTTGAAGAGTAGAACAAACAGAATAGCTCAAAACCCCAACGCCAAAACACGACACTGTAGTTGTCCGAAGCACTTTTCGGTAACAAAGTTACCTTCTTCAGGGACTGAAGTAAACTAAACCTAAATGAGAACTAATCCTAATTTATACTGATAGTTGTTAAGGTTCAGTGAACATGACCCGAAGCCTTCTATCTACCTTGTTGGCTTCGGGTCATGTTCACTGAACCTTAACAACTATCAGTATAAATTAGGATTAGTTCTCATTTAGGTTTAGTTTACTTCAGTCCCTGAAGAAGGTAACTTTGTTACCGAAAAGTGCTTCGGACAACTACAGTGTCGTGTTTTGGCGTTGGGGTTTTGAGCTATTCTGTTTGTTCTACAACAACCGCCAAAGTTTTTCCAATCTTCATAAATTTGAAGACACAAATCATTCTTGAAACTCTCGTAACTTTTGTAGAATGTTATGAGTAAACTGGATAATTTTTTTAATTTTGGTAATTATCTGTTTTCTTGCATTAATTGTTAATTGGAGTAATAAGAAATGGCCAGACATCCTAAACTGATTTCCTCATGAAAGTGAATCATAGCAATCAAAGGTAATGAACACGTCTTAATTTTTAAATCTTTTTTGGATATTTTTCTTTTGACAGTAAAACTTGACAGCAGTGACAAAATAATACAATAGTCATAATAGGAGCGAAATAATTAACAGTAAATATGTACAATGAATAATGAATCACAGTAATTGTATGTTGTTTAACACGTCTGACGAATTTGTCAATTTACGTATCTTCCCATGACTTTTATGTGTAATTTGTAAGCAATAGTGTATAAATACGTAAAAATTATAGTGTTGTGGGATATGTCAACAAAGTCACAGTTAACGAAGGATTTAAATGGTACTTTGTTTTACTTTATTATGATGCTTTATAAATTAAAAATAATTACACTTATCGTGCAGGAGACAATTATATTTTATCAAGTTGTACTGTTGCATTTTTTTGGTGGCATAACCAAAGTATTCTATGCATGTTTACAATATTTATATTAGGTTTTATTTAGATGTAAAATGTATTTGCAGAAAGTATTAAACGCTTATTGGGGAAGCAAGTTAAGATCCTATTTAAAAATGTCGTACGACTTGAAACCAAAGGTGACAAAACTGAAAATAGAGTCATGGTAAATGCTTCTAAAGAAAATAATTTCAAATAAGTATGCGTTAATGTGTTTGCAGGTGTTTTCTCCATGTCGAATATTGCTTCTTACAGCAAAAGTTCCTACTAGGGTGAGATTTATATTATAAATAATTTAAAAATACATATTGTTGACATGTTGCTGTTATTTACAGATTGATTTTCACTTCCATTACTTAGAAATACAGGCAGTTGAAAGTAAAAGGGGCAATCAGCTGAGCATTACTGTGAATGATAAGACACATTCGTTTCTAACAGGTGAAGACTCAACATGTAGCCTGGAAGTGGATAATATGATATCTGCTATTGCCACTGCACTGAGAAACATTTTTCCAACTGTTCCCCTTAACTATATAATAAAAAAGGTACTACTTAAAATTGAAATATTGCTAAGCCTTTAAATTGTTATTTTGAATGAAATAGATTGAAGTTCTTCCTGCAACACGTCTTCAACAGTTATATGATTTGGAGATTATTTCAAGAAATCAAGAAGTGGGCCCCTGTGGCGGATTTTCCACTCAGTATGCATGCATGTGTGACTATCACAACATGACCTATCGTGATGAGGTTGCTTGGGATATTGACAACATTCTGGTTTGTTTAAATAATCGCGAACTATGCCTTAAGGACTTTGACCATTTAGATCAGAGGTAGTTGATTCCTGAATTATTTAACATATCTTCATTAATTACCGCAATAATGAATCTAATTTAAGTATCTTTTAAATACTTTTCAGAGACTTGGTACCAATCATAAGTGCTTTGGAATATAATACATGGTTCACTAAAATTCGAGCTGCTCATGTGAAATTATCCCATGAATGTTCTGATAGAATCCTGCACCTTATAAAAAATTCCCTCTGCCTTGAGGAGCTCTACCTAGATAATTTGGGGATAAAAGCCGACTATGTAAATAAAATTTCACATGCCATTAAGTCTAACACTGAATCTCATATTCATACAATAGATTTATCTAATAATCCTCTTGAAGATAAAGGTAAATATTTCACTGTAGGAATAAATTACATTTTTTTCAATTGTTGTATTTCCCAATTTTTTAACTTATTTTTCAATAAATTGTATTTTTTTAGGATTGACCTATTTATGTGGTTGGGTCAGTAATCTTAAAAAAGGTATAGAACATCTAAATTTATCACATTGTGGAGCCACATCGAAAGGTGTTAACCATCTTACCCAATCCCTTTGTTCCAATGAAATTAATTATACTACTCTGAGTTACCTTAATCTTTGTGGTAATAGTCTCAAAGATGACATTCAGGTTACTTTTAAATATTACAGAATAGATTTTTTTGTCTAATAACAATTCATTTTTTAGAATTTAAGCACCTTCCTGAGTCACCCCAACAGTCTTACTCATCTAGATTTGTCTTCTACTGATATTGTAATAGACAGTGTATGTTTCAAATTTGCTATTGTGGTCCTGAGCACATCGTTTGCAGATGACCTTATTATAAAGGGCACACTTAAGAAATATTTTGCTCTCTACTGGCAGGGTAACATTAACTGTACTGGCCCTGTATATTATATACAAAAAAAATATGAGTGCTGTCAGCACAGGGCGAAATAGTATTATGTAAATGAAAGTTAGTTAATTTCTTATGCGGAAGTGTACGATGTGTTGCATACCTATTTACAAACAATTTAAATTTTAATCATTGGTTACTATACATCTATTAAAAAACCATAATGGCCGACATCAGTAACAATGCGACAACAATTGAAAAAGAATGATGGCCGACAACTGCAACAATTAGAAAGAATGATGGCCGACACTACGTCATAGTATTGTTTACAAAAATGAATTTCGAGCACTCGAAGCAATGGTGCTAACAGTTTCGAGCTCACAGTGACTGATAGGGGGGAAGAACTAGTAAGAATAAAAAATATTTAATCATTAAGATCGACGGCCTAAACACAGAACTTATATCTGCAAACGATGTACTGTCCTTACTTATTATTTTTGCTTTTGGACTAAGATTAGTTTTATTTTGTTTTCGCAGTTATTTAATTCATTAGCAAAGGGTTGCACAACAAATCTAATTCATTTGAACGTATCCAGGAATACTTTTAGTTGTAAAAAGAACAAGGAGCCTCCAATATCGTTTAAACAGTTCTTCACTGCCTCTATGAACCTAAAGTATATTAATATGTCCCACTGTAAATTGCCCCAGGAAGCTCTCAAGTAAGTTTTTTTATTATTGTCGCTCTTTTATATTTCTCTGTTAATATTTGTAATGTGTTTTTTCTATTTTAAAAAGTAAATAAGAATAATAGGTACTTACTAACATCTGGTAACACCATTTAAATTGATTTCTATTATATACAAAACAAAATTATTTTATTATCTCAAAATACAAATTTTTAATTGAAATATTCGTTTATGTTTCATGCAATATGTTAAAAAATTGAAACTAGAATTTCCACATACGTGTTTTTCTTCTATGTAATATTGTACGCATAACAATAAACCGTTAAGTATATCGTTAATAAAAGAAGATAAATACATTTACGATTAGTAATAACAGAATAACTTTGTAATGATTCAGAGATAATAGGAAACATCACTTACTGTTAGTAGTACAATGAGTAAATAATGATATGCTCAAAACGGTATAATGAATGTACTTTTAATCGATAGGACTTTTTAAGGAAACAATTGGTGAAATTGTAAGAAATTATGTATATCAAAAACAAATCACTTTTATGAACTACCTAGAATTCTGATATTAATTAGAAATACCTCGGATTAAAAATGGTATAACATTTAAAAAGAAAAAAGTAAATATATGTAAAATGTCCATTATTATAAACTATCGATGTTAAAGTACCACCCCACCCTTTTTTAAGTTAAGAGGGTACAAGGCTAGTAAAGCTGAAAATGTTACTTAAGGTATTTCTTTTATAATGTCTTAGAATTTGTTACTCTTAATATTTTTTTACACGCCAACAAAATATAATTAAAAAAAAAAGCTTTTCAGGCTATATTTAGGTACAACTTCTACATCAAAATAAATTGGTCGAATATAGACCAAACGCAACACTTGTAAAAATAATTTTAAAGAAAGAAAAATTAGTTTACTTATACATATACCACTTTTTCTTAAAGGTAGACATATTGCATGAAACCATTAATAAATCTCAGAAACAAAATAAACACAGTTAGCTGTAGAATTGAATAATAAGTAAATTAACAAACTGAGTTGTTATTTTACTACAAAAGAGTAACAACTCTTAATATTTTTAGTTATTATGGTTGTTGTTACCTTTTTTTTTTCTTTTCTTCTTTATTAACCTGATTGTGTTTGATTGATTTATTTAACAATTGCATTTTAAGGAACTTGTTGCTGGGCCTAGCATGTAATGAATTCATTAAAGATATGAGTTTAGATTTAAGTAGCAATTCTCTAGGAGGCCAAGGAGCACACGTATTAGAATCGTGTGTACACGGTGTGCGTTGTATTTCTAGTCTTGATATTTCTGATAACAGTAAGTTAATATTTAAATAATAATGTTATTTTCAGCATGCCTCCCAGCCCCTTTCTTAAAGTGGTGATCCCTTATTCCACTCTTTCTTTTAGAACAAAAATGAATTAAGATCTTTTATTTAATATTTTGAAGAGCATACTTTTGTTACATGTATAAAGCGTTACTATACAATATACATATAATAAAAGTTTTTGCATGATCTTAAATGTTTAGAAGATTGAACAACTGTCGAGTATAAAGTTTAACAGCTTTGTAAATACATTATAATATTAATTATTATTTCAAACATCCTAGTTAACCAATATAAAAATTGAATATTTCTAATTTCATAATATGTAAATTCATTTTTGATTGGACGTGCCCTTAAAAATTGCATGCTCTACATGTAAGTTTAGTCTTCTAAGAAAATGACTGTCATGTTATTTCAGATATGGACGTAGATCTTGCAGAAGTAATTTTAGCAATAAATAGAAATAAGTCGTTGAAGCATTTGAGTTTGGCGCGTAATATGTGTAATATGAAAGCAAAACACGTTTCGGTCATTATGGACGCAATCGTGCAGATTATTCAAGATGAAGAATGCGTTCTACAGACTTTGAACCTTTCGGAATCACGTCTTAAATCAGATTTGCACAATTTTCTAAACGCTCTCGGAGACAATAAATGTTTAGAAAAGATTGACATAAGCGGCAATTTAATTGGCGATACAGGTGCTAGGCTGTTAGCTAAAGCCTTACAGATCAATAAAAAACTAGTTACTATAATTTTGGATAGGAATAATATCACCCTACCAGGATATAGTGATATAGCATATGCCCTAGAGTGCAATTATTCATTGCAATATATGCCATTTCCCATATACGATGTTGGGATAAGTATGAAAGCATCTGCTGAAAAAACTGACTTTGTTATGCGCAAAATTCAAGATTCGCTCAATAGAAATTCAGCACCAAAAAATTCGAACAAAAAGAACTTGTTCTTATCGCATTCTGACTTTGTATTAAATTCCAAACAGCACATTGTAGCAAGGTTGCTGTCGAAGGCTCGTGAAGCGCTTCGAAACGCACCGACAGACTCTTTATCTTCGGAGGAAATAGCGCATGCCAAAGATGTGATTGAAGAGGCCGAAAATGCTAAACAAATCTTAGAAAACCTGCAGGATGTCGCACATCGAAGAAAAAATCCCGAAATTGTTGACACCAAAATGAAACAGGTGGTTTGTGAGATACACAATTCCATTAGTGAATCATTGCAGGTGTGCATTTCAAGAGTTATTGGTGATTATTTTAATAATAACTAATTTTTTAAGGAAACCATGGACATTATGCTCAAAAGTTGCAAGGAATTGTATCCTTCCATTCTGAAAAATGCAAACACCATTAAAAGTATTAAGAGGGAATGTAAAAAGAAGAACCAAATTCCAGTTGATTTTGTTAACAATATAATTAAGGTCCAGGCTGGATCTGAAATAATTACAAAGATAAGGTTCGATTTGTTATAATTTGTAGTATTTGAAATTGGTGAAAGATATTAAATTTAAGTGCTTATTTTTTTTTTTTTTTCAGAAATGCCAACCATTTGTTAGCATTGTGTTTGTCAGAACAGGTAATTGAGGAAGTTCAAGATGCTTTGATGAAATCATATAAGACATTAATAGGGGATAATAGGCAAATGGAATCTCCTCTCTTAGGTTCACGTAACAGTAGTTCTGACTCATCCAGACATGGAACAAGTGATCTTTCTATCACCGATGATAGTCGTCATTATAATAATTCTTCAGTTGTAAGTTTAAACTTTTTAAAATTTTAACTTTTTTATCCTCAAGTGCCAAAAATTTTATTATTAATAATGGTTTCTAAAAATTAAAATTAGTGTCCACAATTTGTACTTTAATGTTTTTTAATTGTGCGTTTTGATACCACAAAAGCTTTATGTTGTGTATCAAAATGAAATATAAATTTTTCCTCTTAAAACAATCTCACGTGAATATAAATCATTTATTATTTTATTTCTGTTTTTCTGCGTTAGCAACTGGAATATTTGAATTTGGTGAGTTATGTATGCGATATGGCAAAATAAAAACAATTTCTTTATGCTTGTAGTTACACATTTGTAGTAGTTATCAGCGGCTGTAGCTGTTTAAAAATAGCCAGATGTTTGATGTTAAAATTAAATTTGTTATAACACAAGTAAAGAATATTAATTTTATTATTTAATTTAGATTTATTAGTTTGTTTGTTCTTATTTGAGTTGTTATGAAGTTTTAGTTCGATTAGTTTTAAAGCAGAAGCATTTCTTTTTAAACGGTATGCTGTAAATAATAATTTACACTTTTTTCTTTAGGCCACACCTCATTTATCAAATAAGAGAAAAAGTTTGCATGGTCGTAAACTTAAAATTAGACCAAAGTCTATGATTGGTAGTAGCGAAGGCCTGTCAGCTGACGACATATCTGACCTTATCCCGTCATTGCCACACGATGGTGAAGAAGAAGATTCCGTTACAGAACTTCCAAATGCCACTCATCAATTACAACATCTGGTCAAAGGTTTGTATTTTCTTTATCTATTTTTTATAGCACGTCTTTAATTTTTTTATTGTTTTAATGCTATTTAGGACGACCACGGAGAGTTAAGACGAAGGCTCCAACACGCCCACTTATTAAACCAGATTCAGGGGAAAACCAGGATTTAAGTGAAGGTCTGGAAACTTTTTTTAGACCTGGATCAGTAACACCAACTTCTGACGATTGTAGTTCTTTCCAGTCGGCAAGTCCCAACCATGAATTAGCCTCTCCTGTTATGAATGAAGACCAGAAGACTCCTAAATTCCAAAAAACATCTTTATTCTTTAGAGGTTAGTAAAGCAAGTAATAAAAATATAAATCATTCTTTTCATTCACATTAAATATGTTTCATTTCAAGGTTTAACAAATTCCCGATCTAGATCTACTGATAACTTAGGAAAGTATTCTCCTTTACTTCTTCACAAAAGCACTTCGGACATTTCTTCGCCTGCTCGAAGACTTACAGGTGACAGCCTCATATCCCGAAAAAATAACAACAAAGCTAAAGAAATTTCCAACGGCAATAAATGTCCTTCGGGCAAAAATAGTTTTCAAAGTAGTTTAGAAAAGAACGACGAAAGTAACGGATCGTCATTGAAAACAAATCAATTTTTGGTAACGAAACCAAGGCCATGGTCTATGGTTAATGCAGAACAGAGAAACGATAATCTCTTAAGTGATGGTTCTTCCCCGATAAATTCGACTGAAAATACGCCAGACTCCGGCGAAGCATTAGATTGCTCCGAGTTGCCCTCGTTGGGCCGACGAACGTCTCAAGACAGTAGAAAATAGGTGTTCAAAAGTATTTTTTGCATGAAGTAATTCTTTTACCTGTGATGTGGAAATTGTCCATAGATATTTTTTAAAAATTTTATATAGACTTCGGTAAGTGTATTATTTTTATTAATTACATATTCGTACTGTCATTTTTAGTCATTTAGTTTTATTTTTTAAATGTGATTAAATGGCATATTTTTCTATTTAGGTTTAATAGTTTTTTTTTTTATTTACCGTAATATATTATTTTTTATTCCAACCAATATACATTGACTTGTGATTTAATTGCTGTATTTATGACTAATCCAATTAAAAATTCCAGGAATTGAAACAGTCATTACTTCCTTAAAACTCGATCCCTTATCCTGTTTCCTTTGGAGTTTATTTTACTATTTAATAAACAATAAAATAACCACATGTAAGTACTACAGTAAACAGATTAGTTTCTACTTTATTTTAAAAGGAAAACAGTTATCAATTAAGAGACAAAGTTATTTAACTTATTTTTTATTTTCAGATCAGATTTTTCATAGAACGTTCTTAACAGAAAAATAATGATTTTATTTCAATAAAATTCATTAAACTAAGGTACGTACATTACAATAAAACGATTTAAAACTATATTTTAACTTTACATACTTATTTTATAGTTGTTTGCGTAACAATACGTACAGAGATGATGAGTATTTAAAAAAGGAGAAAATGAAATAATATACAGTGTATGTAGCAATAAATACAGGGACTAGGCAATGTGATGGATGAGCAATAACCGTTTAGTGATATGCCTCGACTACCTAGGTGAAAATATATTTATTGAATTAGTGTTCGTTCGTTTCCTCACCAGCCTTGCAGAAACTGAAAAAAAGAATTTCAAGAAATTACTTTCTCAGTAATAACCCTTTAAAATCACGTAAGTAACTTAACGTTTCATACTTCTTTCTAAAGAAATGGAAAGAAAGAGATTATCATCTCCATTATCAATCAATCAATTCAAAATTGCAATACTATGCGCGTATACTATCGTATTAATTGCGCGCGCAATTTCCGTTGCACGCTAAAATTTTATTCGCAACACGCCAAAAGAAGTACAACTTCAGAAAGTGCTTTTCCTAACGGGGAAAGTAGCAAACAAAGATTAATACTTTTATGACATGTACTCACTAGAACTATCTTGTGGGGTAAGAGGCTTCTCTATGACCTTTTCTAAAACCTGAATCCACTCGTCCCTTTCTATGTCATTAGACGCTGACAAATTAAATATACGATCAGGAGTGTGTAGAGTGAAAGGGGATCCTTGATCCTTAACTCCTACAGACACACCAATTCGTACACTATAACCATCCATTGCATGACCTACATAAATAATAATCTCACTTAGTATGCCATTAACGATAACGAAATCCATAACATTCCAGAACTATTAAATAAAATAGTTTTAGAGATATTATAAATTCTTTTTTTAGTATAGCTATTTAGATTCAAAATAGGATTAGTGCTTGTTGCAAAGTCTTATTATTTGAATCTCACCAATAAATATTTCACCCTTTGGATGCGCATCTAGTGGTTCATCATGATACATAAGCTTCCTATTATCTAAAGTAAACCATCTTTTCTTAAATCCATCGGTGGGTCGAGGGCCTGTTTTCCAAAGCCAACCTTCTTTAGCAAAGCCATCTGGAAGATACTCAACCAGATCAGCTTCACTAGCTGATGGATATGCAATCTGCAACCTGTGCAATTTAGCACATCGTATTGCCATATACCAGTTTGTTATAATTTCAGGGTCGTCGTGGTATAAGTAAATGTGACGTGTGGTACCGTCTTTTAAAAATGTCAGTTGTAATGAATTTAAATGGTCCATTTTTTCTGGTGCAAAAACCACATTTAGTTCTGATATCCTTAAGATTGCTTTTGGTTCTTTATTTTCGCGGACAAAATATTTAAGTGTATCTTCTGACTCATTTAAAATGAATTTTCGCGACTGATAATGTCTGTCTTCTTTGCCCCGTTTCATAAGAAATCCAACCATATAACCACTAATGTAGCATTGCCTTTCTGGATAACAGAATTCTTCTCTTTGGTACTTAGCTCGAATCCATTGTTCTATCAAAACTCTATAAATAATAACCAGTAAAAAACTTATTTCAAGAGCAGGTCAACTTCTCATTTTTATAGTTCCTTACTGAGGATCATTTTCCTTTGGACGTCTGTAGCAAGGTGGGACACGTTCTTCATATTTAAGTTTTGCAGTGATATTACCCACTTCTTTCATTCGCTCAATCTGAGAATCTTCCCATCGATCTAGTTTAAGGTGTTTTACTTTACTAATGTGAACACCCATGTTACGATGGACACCTGCACATCGTATACATAAAAATATTCCTATATTATATGATGCCCATTCTGGACCTAAAAGAACGTTATTAGCTACATAAAAACGTTTTTAAAATATTAGGATACACACTTCTACTACCACAATCAGCACACATGTTATTTCCTGGCAACTTAAGTAATTCCATTAATACTTTCTCGTTTCTTTCCGCCATGGTTTACAAGACACAAATGCACCAAAAAATCAGTATTAAAACAAACATAAACCTATTAAATATGCATAATAATAGAAATTAAAAAATGCTTGGCTTCACAATCAACCATTATAAAAAATGAAGTCACGCTCAATCACTTGTTTAATTGCAATGTAATGTTTTGCAATGGTTACAACAACCCCAACATTTATTATTATTATTTAAAAGCACTTCTTTTATTAATTAAAATATATCTAATTTTCGTTTATTAGTTTACTACGTTTGCTGATGACGATAGGTAACTTGTGATGTATTGTTGTTGTTTTTACATTTTACAGTTTAGATACGTTCTATATTTCCAATCCTGTGATCACTAATTTTAATGGAACTGGGAGTTAAATTTTTACTAAAGTGTAGAACGGTACTTTGTATTTTATTTATTAACAACAAATTTGCGGTAAATATTCAAACGATAATATATAAAAGAACAAAATTCAGATTTCTTTCTTAAACACAGTGTGGATCACCTTAACTGAAATTACTGGACGCTTCCTTTTTATTTTCATTATAGTTCTATAGGTACTGTCAAAGTTTTAATAAAAATTTTGTCTATGATAAATATCAAAATCTATGGTATTATCTATGATCTAATGTCATCATAGATATAGTAAACAATTGTTTATACTCCAAAAACATTTAAATTAAGATATTCTGCGATCATATTAATCAGTAGTTGATAATATGACGGGAAATATGTTTTCTTTAGAATATATCCCTATTTTTTTAAAATCGCAACAATTGTAAGTATCTTTCAGTAGTCATGTTAATTTGTTTTTTATTAGGTTATTTTACATATTTACAACAGTTTTCTGTTTTGCTATTTTTATAATATTCATCTTTACTTTCTGTTAAGAATTTTATCTACCCAATTATTTAATTTATCTTCATCTTGCAAACCAACCAACCTTTCTTCAACTTTTCCATTACGAAAGGCAACCAATGCAGGAATTGTACTAACCTAAAATTTTACTTAAGTGATGATTACACTAACCCACTTCGACGATTATTTTACCTCATATTTAGCTGCAAGCTCTCCTAATGAATCAATATCTACTTTTGCAACATTTATTTGGCCTTTACGTTTTGCAACAATATTTTCTAATCTTGGCTCCAATGCTTTACAGGGACCACACCATCTTAAAAGAAAAAAGATAAATTATTATTGAATCTGATCATACTTTGTGATTCTCGAAATACTGTAAATTCATATACCTACGTTGCAAAGAAGTCGACAATCACCGGCTCTTTACTTTCTTCGACTTTTTTGGAAAAATCTTCTTCATCTTGAACTTTAAACGTTCCTCTGCGAATAAACGATGTTGAAAAATTTCTTTTACCAATGTTAGTTAAGCCTTTTAAGATCTGTCCATTCCTCACAATTTTCTGAAGATTCATTTTTATTTATTTTATTACAATTTAAATTTTTCTTGTTAATTTTTAACTTCGATCAATAAAATACAAATAAATGAATGACAATTGATATTTTCGGCATTCTACGATAAATAGATGGTGGTCATAGTAACATAAACTATATTGAGTTGGTTTACGTAATATCGAAACAACTGTCCTTTTTAAGTTTATATGAATTTTAAATGTTACTACTAGGATATAAGCGATTCATAAAAAAACACTTGTCTGCCTGTACAGACTAATCTTCCAAACGACTGAGCCGATAAAACTATACAAACATTAATTGTAGGAGACTATCAGGAGTGATCTAGGCTATAATTTTTTTCAATTGTTTATTAGTTATAGCCATTGCATTTATTATTGTAAACAATTAAAAATAGTTTGAAGCTGAAGTAATCGCGGGTCAATGCCAGTAGCATAAAATTCCAAATGTGGGTTAAGTACCGTTACTTGTTCATTTAAACACGTCGACTTGGCTTGATGCTTATCTAAGGATAATGCTCTATGGATAATGCTTTTCAATGTATAACCCATAGATAATAGGTATAACCTTAAAATGTTATCTGTCAAAACAACGGATATTTTTTGAAAAATAAGTAAAAAAGCGTATTTGTTTGGTGATATAGCGTGTTAACATGATAAAACGGTAAAAATTGCGTGTACTGAACTCGTTACTCGAAAGTTTTAATAGTTGTTAAAGTGATGTCTGATTCAGAAGAAGAACCTTTTTGTAATTATTATGGAACACCTCTTCAGCCTTATGACGAAGGTACAGATTTTTTTTATATTTTACATTTCTATATTACAAGCAATTGCAGACGCATTTCCAAAGAAGAGGCCAATAACCGTTGAAGAGCAAGTGGCAAAAGATGCTCAGGGTCGTAGAAGATTCCATGGAGCATTTACAGGAGGTTTTTCAGCAGGTTTTTTTAACACTGTTGGTTCTTTGGAAGGTTGGACTCCAAGTGAATTTAGGAGTTCAAGAAATGATAAAGCTAAAAATGTTGCTCAAGCACCTACAGATTTCATGGATGATGAAGATGTAGGAGAGTTTGGAATAGCTCCCCAAATTATTCAAGCTACAAAAGATTATACAAGTTCAAACAAGAGGAAGAAAGAAGTAGGTATATATCATATTGATACTGAATGGTTAACTTATTAAAGTAGAAAATGATGACTGTGATAAAAAAATAAATTAACTGAACACCAAAACTTAACACTTCAGACAGTTATTTATTAGATTAAGAAAATGTTTTATAATCAGAAATATTAACTCAGTTTTATCACATCATGACTATGACCAAAAGCAATCCCTATTTGCTGTTATAAAGAGTTTGTCTTGTTTAACTTTCATTAGTTACACAAAAAGTTACAGCATAAGCTTTTATGGGTCTTTTGCACAAAATCTTTAACTTATATTCAAATATTACAAGAAACATTTACACTTGCTGTTATGAAGATCTTCTGAAGTACTAAATAACTAAATAAATATTTAGATATTTTCATCTGGTCCAATTCCTGGTCAACCTGTGCTTCAATCTTTAATTGAATCTTCCACTGAAACTATAGGTTATTATATTCTTAAAAACATGACCATAAAACAGAAGAAGCAAATGAGACAAGAATTAGAAGAAAGTAAATCCCAAACAAGAGTTTATGGCTGTGAAATGCCTAAGGATGTAGAAAATATCGAAGGGGTTTTCAAAGAGACTTATAATTTGCCTGATATTTATAAGCATTATCTTCAAAATTCCAAAAGTAATTCTGCTGGTTTGGGACATTCAGGATTAAACGACTCCAGGAGTATTTCGGGTTCTTCACAGTCTCATTTGTCCATGACTGACAAAAACAATAAAAAAATCTCAATTTCTGGTCAAGCTTTTGGAGTTGGTGCTTTTGAAGAGGAAGATGAAGATATTTATTCCAAAGATGATATGACAAAATACGACTTTGAACTAACAAACGAAAAACATGAAATTAAAACTGTGAGACAATCTCTCGGCGATTTTGTGTTATCTAACACTCCACTCGTTTTTAAAAACAACTTTCCACCGCCAATTATTCCAAGCAGCTTTACTGGTAAACATAATGTTAAAAGGTCTAGGTTTGAACCTCTTCCTGAAGATAAAATTAAAGAAAAACAATATCTTCCCAAACGAAAAGATATTAACGCTAGTGTAAGGGCTAAATATTTAGGAGACTCTTCTGATAATCGAGACGAACATAATGATGTATCTAGTTCATCTAGATCTTCAGAACCCTCAAGTATAGACGTTAAAGATGAAAGTGAGGTCAGCAAAAGTGATTTTAAAATGTCGAATTTGTTATTCGATAAATTTGTAACGGCCTCACAATCAGATGAACACGTTACATCTAAAGAATCGACAGAAATCTTACATGGTAATAAAGAAATGCACGATGCAGTAAGATTAAAAATGTTTGGCCCTTTAACTAGAATAACATCAACTTGGCAACCTTGTTCTTTACTATGTAAAAGGTTTAACGTTCCTGAACCCCAATTCAGGTACGAATATATTTGATTTATTATGACTATTTTATAAAAATTTTAACAATTTATTTATTTTTTTAGAGATGATAATTCTGCTCAGTCTACCAAAAGGAAGAAACATCTTATTTTCGAATACCAAAAGCATGCTGAACAGCTTCCCACTATGTCCGGAATCAGCTCGTCGTCTACTTTTCATGAAAAAATAGTCGTTAAACAAGAAATTTCTGAAAAGATTGAAGAAGAAATACCAGTAAAATCAACTGAAGAAGATCCTGTAAACGTTGAGACTTCCGCGGATAATGAAGAAAAAGATGTAAATAATTCCTTACCACTCATTAAAAATTATAATGAAAAAATTGATGTCTCCAAACAAGTAGATCTTTTCAAAGCAGTTTTTCTAAGTAGTAGTGAATCGGAAAGTGAAGATGACGAAGCTGAAAAACAAAATAGACTCAAAGAAGTAAGAGAAAGTATTTTAAGTGAGTCATTACTGCCCAAAATTAAACCAACTACTAAAGGAATTTTATCAGACATAGATTTTTCGTCTCTTAATAACGATAATAAAATAGTGGAAAATAATACAGAAGAAAAGGACAAAAATGAACAAAAAGATGATAATGTGACAACATCTCACGAATCATTTAAGTCTGATGATAACAATTCATATGGTCCACAGCTACCAAATAAAAAAGCAGATTTTAAATCCCATACATATTCTAGAGCTACTGCAATAGATGACGATAGCGATGAATGGGTCGAAAAACAAGATAAGCCAAAGAAACATAAAAAACACAAGAAAAAACATAAAAAAGAAAAAAGTAAGGGTAAACGTGAGCACAAATCGAAGTATTGAAGTACTTAGGCTATGTTTCTGTAATTCTTTGTATATTACTTTTTTTTTTTTAATTAAATTACTACTAATTAATATTTTTCTAGTAAATTTTCTACCCTTTCATTCAAAGAATTACGCGAAAAACATTGAAGGAAAAACATTTTTCTCTGTTTTATTTAATTTTTAAAAACAAAATACATTTTTTATAAATATATTAACTTAATGTAATATACATTAATATACGTATGAAATTGCTGAGACCGTAGTTTTCAACTATGAATTACAATTATTGAATGTAAGGGTATTTTTTTTCATTATTAATTAGTTTTCTTTATTATAAATAATTTAAAACAAACTTCAACTTCCTCACTTACTGTAGTGTATGTTGGGTTGCAAACCAAAAACTAGGTCTGGAGAAAAATAGAATGAGTCATAATTGTTTGACAGTACAACGCATAGACAAGGTACAATGTTTATTACTAATGAAGACAAAAAATAGTTCAAGTGTTTCTTATTTGTTCCTTAAAAAACTTCATAATGTTTGATAAAATAGATTTGGAACAGTGTCTTAGAGACTCTCCAAAGTTTAGAGTCTATTTGGAAGAGCAAGAGGCAAGCATAGATCAATTAGAAATGAAACTGGACAAAATCTTGAAGATGTGTGGGGCCATGGTTGATACTGGAAAGGCATATGTTGCCCAACAAAGTCTGTTTGCTAATAGTTTATGGGACTTAAGTACGCATTTTAAAGAAGATCCTGAAGTTCTAGCACCTCTAAATAAATTAATCCATAGTCTGCAAGAAATGAACAAATTCCATACAATCCTGTTGGATCAGGCATCTCGAATAATTTTAAAGAATCTCACTAGTTTCATAAAGAAGGATATTAAACATGTAAAAGATAATAAAGTGCATTTTGACAAAATATCTGTGGAATATGACAATGTGTTGGTTAGAAATTCACAAACGTCTAGAAATAAACAACAAGAAATAGAAGAGATTCAAAATCTTTTAACTGCAGTTCGTTCCTGTTTTGGACACCAAGCATTGGATTACATGTATAGTATCACAAAGCTTCAAGCTGTAAAGCGTTTTGAAATTTTGGACACTTTATTGTCTTATATGAAGGCATGTACAACATATTATCATCAGGGTTCTGATTTGTGTGAAGATTTAGAACCATTTTTTAAAAATCTTGCTGATGATATTTCCAAAATGAGAGAGGAAAGTTATAAGGTTGAAAAAACATTACAAAACAGACATTCTGTTGTCTCAAACAAGGAAAAAGTTCCGGAACAAAAATCCAATACAGCACCAATTATGGAAGGGTACTTATTTAAAAGAACATCAAATGCTTTTAAAACTTGGCACAGAAGGTGGTTTTATTTGTTTGATAATAAGTTGGTTTATAAAAAAAGAACTGGAGAAGAAAATGTTACTGTGATGGAAGATGATCTTAGAATTTGCACTGTTAAGCCAGTCTTTGATGGAGAAAGACGTTTTTGTTTTGAAATAGTCTCTCCATCGAAGAATCACATGTTACAAGCAGACTCCAAGGAGATGTATGACGCTTGGATATCAGCTATGCAAAAGGGGATTGGAGCAGCAATTCAGCAGACTTACAGCTATAATCCAAGCAACAACAATGACAGTATAGTATACAGCAACAGTAATTTTTATCGAAATAGTACTGAAAGTACTTCATCAGAAATTGATAGAGTACAGAAGTTCAAGAAAATTAAATTATGGGAACAGTTGCTTAAAATACCAGGCAATAACTACTGTTGTGACTGTGGCGCTCCCAATCCTCACTGGGCCAGTATCAATTTGGGTTTAACCCTCTGTATAGATTGTTCTGGAGTACATCGAAGTCTTGGGGTGCACTATAGCAAAGTTCGTTCTTTAACACTTGATGATTGGGAACCAGAAATGATTAAAGTTATGGCTGAATTGGGCAACAACATTATTAATAATATTTATGAAGAGAACATTCCTCCAGATCAAAAACGAGCAACATCCAAGAGTACAGGAAGTGAAAGAGAAACGTGGATAAAGGCCAAATATGTTGATAAAAAATTCGTCAAGAAATTGCCTGAATTCACTGCTCTTTCTGGAAATTCAATAAGATCTAGTTTGGATGTTCGCAAATGGAGTGTACATAAAAGAAGAAGACGTTCAAAGAGCTCTGATAATAAAAGAAAATCAAAACCACTAATTAACATGGCTACTTCTTCAGAAACTCCTACAACAAGCGATACAATATCAGAACAAAGTGAAGAAAGTGGAATATTTAACGAAGACAATATAAAAAAGGTCCAAGATGATAATGAAGGCGAAAGCGACAAAAAAGAAGACGCTGAGACCCCAAATAAAAGATCAAGTGTATTGCTAATAGACTTGGAAAAACAACCAATAGAGCCGTTGGATTTAATTGTTAGCAGTGATCAAGATTCCACAGGAGGCGAAGAAGAAGCAGACGTTTTAGAAGAAGATATTTCGAAATTACATCCAAATCTGTTGCTTTATAAAGCAGCTGCGGCTCACAATTTGCCTGTTATGTGCAAAGCTTTAGCTCTTGGAGCAGATAAAAATTGGTCAAACCCAGATGACAGGAATCGTACAGCAATACATCAGGCTGTATTAAGCGGATCTGTGATGGCTTGCGCCTATTTAATAGTAAACGGGGCTAAAATAAATACTCAAGATGATCAGGGACAAACACCATTGCATCTTGCCACAATCGGAGGACACACGGCACAAGTTTGTCTCCTTTTAAAACACCGCGCAGATCAACATATTGAAGATAACGACAGCACGGTGCCCCTTACGGTTGCAGAACAAAAGAAACACGCTGATATCGTAACTCTTTTGCGTTTGGGGCGGTTAAATGAAGAAATGAAAGAATCCGATTATGGAGTTGCAGGTGATGAGATGTTTAACGATGTCGTTCGGGACTTTTCACAGATTGCATGTAATAATCCAGAAAAGTTACATCAAAGCAGCAACTAAAACGCACATCGTTTTTAACTATTGTGATAACTTGAGTATTTAGGATGTAATTGTTATTGTAATTTTATTATTAATGTCTTTTGCATTTATGATGAGCTTTTCTATCAATTTAACTGTTTATTAAAATATTTGAGAGCAATATTACGTTGTGAATGGTAATAGTTTATTAATTTTCTCTCTTTATGGGTAGAGTAAGAGTAATTCAGATTTTAGACTTTTATCTGAATACCATCTCTATTTTTAAACAATTCTTTTTACTATTTGGTAATTCTATCTTTACAAGTTGTAAAGTTTAAACTGCTTTGAAAGACTGCAATTTCTGGAGTTGTTTTTTTTATGTAAGATTGATGAATGAGCTTTTTATATTATTTGTATTTTTAAATTTGTAAAACTGTCAGTATGTTTTTATTTTCAAGTTTTTTTTTATTGTCCAATAAATGTTAATCATTTATTCAATAATATTGACGGAAATTAAAATAAATTAAAACTTTTACAAAACTCAATAATTCTTTTGTTTATTTTTCACTTACTCCAAATTTTTTATTATATATTACATTTATCTCAATCATAAGAACTGAATGTATAAATGAAATCGAAAAAACAACTTTTAAATAATTTTCAAAAATTCCAGTGTGTATAGTGGGTTGCATACCGATTATCAATTTTTGCAATTATAAATGTGTATAACGGGTTGTATAACCTACCTACTCTTAAATTTTGTAAATTTATGTATTTTGGGTTACATAACTTAGCAACAATTTTGAAATTAAAATACAGTAGGGTTAATCTGTTGCAAATTTGGAATCTAAATAATATTTCATTTTATAAACAATTTCTTTCATGTTTTCGTAAACCTAGCTAATTGCAGGTAAATAATATTTGAATTTTTATTTTCGCAATTGAGATATACATCTTTGAATTGTTTAATTTAATGAAAATTACATTGGTACTAAAACCACCTCTACCTGTTTAGAGAGAACTGCATAAACGATTTACACATTTATTTCCCCTTAAGAAATCAGAATGCATGGGAAAGTATTATAATTTATTACTATTTAGGCGGTTTGTGGTTTACAATTTTTATAAGCTTTAATAGGTTATAAAAACTTACGACATACTGTAAGACATTTGATCCAGTCAGAATTACAGTTCAGTCTTTTTACATAATTCCTGTAATATAAACATATATAAATAATATATTCTAAAATGCCCTTTCCCGCGATTATCGTAAGTTGTACAAATGTTTCGTTTGGCCTTGAAATGTAATACTCTCCTTTGTACATCGCTTTATAAATGTAGTCTACGCGACGAAAAGTAGTCCACGAGTATTTTTTGAATTTTCTCGAAAAGTACACATCGTCACTTCAATTGTTTGCATCTGTTTTGACAGATATTTAATGTATAAAAAGCTACCTGCCCTCGTATTTTGTTTAAATTGTTCGTTTCGATTAAATAAAAACTAATGAATGTGTTTGACACTGCGGCGGAGTTCCTTGCTCTCCATTTGAGTCATTATACCGGCAAACTCTACTGGATATTTCCACGCTGGTGCTTGTCACTTCTGTTAGTCGCTGTCGGGCGTTGCATAGTGGTGGATGTCTTCGACTTTTTGATTTTATACAACTTAAGCATGTATACTAAGCCGAATGTAGAATCTAAGAAAGGAAATTTTGTGCTTTGCTGTCTATTTGATACAACCAATTTGATATCTTGGGAAAGTCATACGCCGTGTGTTAGAAAAAAACTTACGAACTAAATTTAGTAGGTGTATAAATTTAAGTGCTTTATATCAAATACCTCCGTAGTTTTTAAGGTAAGTTGAATGTTTTAATCACAAAATGGTTAATTGTGATTGAATTGAGTGTATGTTGTTTGATATTTCGACAAAATTTAGTTAGTTTTTAAGTAAGACATATGGTTGAGGCGCGGCATGCATTCCACGCCGCCTAAGCTGCCGGCATTTTACCGGCACAGTGGCGTCAAGGTTGTGTAACGTTAAAGGCTTTTATAATAATCATTGTATTAAAATTACTATTTATACGTATGGAAATAATAGTTTTGTTTATACAATTACAAAAATGGTCGATTTGTATTACATAAAGGGGAGAAATCAATATGTGCATGCAGTTATGTTCGTAATTAAGTCACCCTTACTACTACTCTTACTAGGCAGTTTAATTATTGGCAAAAGAATAATGTAAAGTTAAGATCTTTACTACGTTTGGTATTAAACCAATTAGTGTAGTAATTACTTTTTATATGCTTTGCTATGCTCAATAATTTGCCAATAGTACCTACTACTCTTGTCTAATTACATGTGTTGATTGATGACTCAAGAAGAATAAGTAGTTTTGTTCAATTTTGTGTTACAAGTTGTCATGTAACAATTAACGTATTAAATAACAGAAAATACGTATTTAACTATTGTCATACTTACTAAATTCTAAGTATTTTACCATTGAAAGCCAATATAGGTACTCCTGATAGGTACCAGATACCTACCTATAATAATTTGGACATAGGTACCTACCTAGATAGGAAGAGGTAGTTAACACTTCTATAGTTGTACAGACATTTAATTAATCTCTTGTACAATATTACTATGAATTGTTTTGTCTACTTGTAAATATCTATTTATTATTATTGCTATTTTACGATTACTATTTTTAAAAGACTGGTATCTTGTATGTATTATTTATTTTACAACATCCAAGGGGACTATTCAATAATTTGAATCAAAAGAATCGATTGTCTGATATAACAATGTTTATTTTAACTGGAAAGACATTCATCGGTTTTCCTAATTTTTTCTTCGTTTTTCTTTACAGTAACTGCTGTCTCGGCAAAAGTCCAGTCAGGAAATTCTTGTGATATTAGTGCGTAGTTTTATAATTAATAAAATTATAAATAAATCATAGTAACATAAACTATGNNNTTTAATAAGAACAGAAGCCCGGTAATAAAAAAATATGTTAAAAATGCCTGTGAAAACGGCCACGACTTTAACCAGCAGCAACGGTTGTCATGTTTTGGACAGTTTACTCATTGACGACGAGGACGTCTGCTTCTACGAGCTGTTATCAAACGACGAGCCGTTACTGTCGGACGACATATGGAAAAAATTCGACCTGGAAGATCTGCCACTTCCCGGTCTCGAATCAATTTTACGTGACCTGGAGGAAGAGCAACCGTTAACACCCCATATCGAAAATAACAGCAGCAGCAACAACACCAGTAACAATAATATGAACGGTTGCAACAACGATTCCCCACAAGTGGTCGACACCATCAGAAACCACGATTGCATGTGGGCCGGTCACTGTGGAAGCAAAGAGCACCCGGCAGATGCGTTATTTTGTATTAGTAATGGTAATAATTGTAAAGCTGCCGTTGCACCTGGCTCTTGCGTTCGTCCCCAGGTGAAAACACCTGTCAAACTTCAACAGCAACCAGTGGTCTCGGCCGGTCGTAGTCTCCTGCTAAAGACTTTCGCAAAACAGGCTTCGACGACGACGCTCTTACCACCAACTTCCACGGCTACAGCGCCCCTTGTACCCAGTCCCGAATCGCCCCCCATTTCTGACGATGAAGGTCAAATGTCACCCAACGCTATTCTCAAAGCCCTGTACGAGGCTATCGAAGAATGCGATGAAGTGGACGAAGACAGCGACCTGTGTGAATACTTTGAAGAGCCAGAGGAAGAAGAAGAAGATGATGACGACGACGAAGAAGAAGAAGAAGAGGAGGAGGATGACGACTTGGAGTTCGAGTTGAGGGAGGAGCCGTCATCTCCGCCGTCTGCGACGTCCTGCAAGCCGCTACACTTCACCCCCGAGATCGATCACAGCTACCACAAGGGCAAGCTACCCCACGCGCACTTTGCCGGTCTCGGAATCGACACCCCGTCTGACTCAGGTAGGTGGCCCTTGTTGTTTGTTTATTTCTTTCGTCTGTTCCCAGAATACTTTTTCCAGTTCTTGACTTGCAATCGCTTCCAAAATCCTTAATGCTTTTTTAACTTATATCAGAATATTTTACGGTTTTCCATAATTATAATTTCATGTCGTCCAAAAATTCATTTTTAATATTTTCGGAGTTGATTGAAAAAAACTATTCTTATTCATTTTTAAATGTGTGTCTTTTTTTGATTTACAATTCCAAAATTCGACTGCGAAAAATTTTGTAGAGAATTTAACTTCTTACCTAAGAGAATATTTCTAAGACCAAATTCGACCAATTAATTTTTGCATGATCTTTTTCAATTATAAATCCATAACAATGAAAGTTGATAAATCAAAATTGTTGAGAAATGATCGTTCCTTTTGGGTCCGCGGTATAAAAAGCGTACTTTATTTACACCAAAATCATTAATCATCCTTGCGGAACGAATTCGTTTGTTTTCTTGGGACAACGGTTTAAATATAAAGGTCAGTCGGACACCTTGGGACATTATTGTAATAGAGGCGGATCATTTTAAATTCAAATTTGAGGATTAAATTAATGTGATCGAACATGATCGTTTCACATATGCTTGTATGTGGAAGACGTAGTTGGTCTTCGAAAACGTGTGGTCGTCAACCCCGTTAAGGGCGGGGATGCGACTATTATTCTCAAAGTTCAAGGTCGATCGATACGCACCCGCACGAAATGTGTGCGATATTTTTAGATAGCGACTGTTTAACACGCGACAGGTATTATTACTGCATCACAATCACATACACAAGAGCATTGACCAAAAAAAAAAATGATTACGTAGTTTACTTAATTTTCTATTTCAACTTCCCCCCGCAAAAAAAAAAAAACAAGAAACTTACACTGTCTTTTGTTTCATTTTATTAGGCATTGCATGCAGGTAGGTACAAAGAATTTAAATGTATGTACCCCATTTTACCAAGAACTACCCATATAAATGTGGTACCATTATATGTATACATAATTTTTAACAATTTCTTCACTGTACTGAGTACTACATACCACTTGTGTGTAATATCAGCGAACACAGGCCATAGTACGTATCTGTGTTCGCTGATAATATAATTGTAGTACATGATAATGCTACCAGATGGTAGGATGGATGATATGTATCATTAGGTACCCGGCAGCTGTAGATCTGGAATGGTGTTGATGTTTCACCGAAATCGTATGGTAAATAACAGAAAAGGTATTTAATAATATAACATTTTAACTTTACTTTAGTAGTTATCAGTTTGTGTGGCAGGAGAAGTGTCTTTTTTTAATTCTTTATCGTGATCGCATTAAATCGATTAATTAATAGCTGGATTGCCGGTGCATTTTGTTCTTTAGCATCATTGTATTCAGGAATGTGTAACGGTAAAATGGTCTAATTGGCGTGTCACCCTAATGGTCTTGTCAGATTAGCGATAAGAGTGGCCGCATCGGATTTTAACGGTGTGGCTATAATATAGAAACGATACCTCGATACTCGACAAAAAAGCGCTTAAATATGTATCATTTCTATCGTGGCCATAAATTTGAATGTTCGCATTTTTTTTTTCGTGTTTGCAGTGGTGGCACCTACTCTATAGTCCTTATCGAACAATAATTAATTCCTTATTATATTACACTATGACATGTTCGCGTTTCGAAAGTTGTTCTTTTGTCTTACGGATTCCGTTATCAAAAGAGACTGATGAGTTGGCAATGTTCCAAAATGCTCGCATTAATAATATTTTATGTAGTACCTACCTGTGTAGGTATAGTCGCATTATCGAAGAGAAATCGCGTGCAGACCAACTATTCAGAGACATACGGCACGTTTTCTGTCTTTGGTAGGTACTACATCTCAATGATTGTACTATATTCATCTATACACTAGTGGCGAGTTGATAGCCGAAGATAGACATCGAAAAATACGGCGTGAGATAGCAATTACCTTCAGTCACCTTTTAATTGTGATAATTTCTATGTTAGGTGAACGTTTTGCCTTACCTGTATATCGATTTTATTATTCGCATGAAGTAATTTTGTAGTACCTGGCTAGATGATAGTCGCTGTTAATTAGAGTAATCGAACAATGTTGATAACACTGGTTCCTTGATGGAATCTCTCCTTTTTCAATTGCATATTACTATTGTATGCTGATTTTATAAGTAGATATTGCCATTTAACCTTGAAACTTGAGCGATAACCGATTTTGTGGCGCCGTTATGATACGGTTTATATTTTTATAGGTATTTTTTTTTCTACGTGTTCACCACGCGTACCATCTAAGGTATGTCGTTTTTTTATCTGCTGGAAAATCAATTGAAAATATCTCTTTGTTCTCTGGAAATTGTCCTAAACTAACTGAAATCTCAAAAGTCTTTGATTTAAACTCAGCACCTCTCAAAACCTTTAAATTGCGTTTGTTAGACTTTTTTTATATAAAACGGCTTCACTCGCGTTGATGTCGTAAATATTTGTCAAAGATCATCGACGACCACATAGAACTCATTTTTTGATCCTTCGGGAACAGTTTTTTTTTGTGAATAAAAGAGGTCCTTTTCTGTACCCTTGACAATGTGTGTACAAAATTTCATGACGATCGGTTGAGTATTTAAGGCGTGAAACTGTTATAAACGAACAAACTTTCATTCGCTTATTGTAATATTAGTTAGGATAAGATGGCTAAAGGTATTTGTACAAAAGATGGCGTCGCCCTTTTATGAATACGTCTATGTTCAGTTCTCAGTTCGCCACAAGTGTGTAAACCACAAAAAGACTCACCCTGAATACCTGCCACAAAACCTGTTTACTGCGAACACGTGTTTCGCCCATTTCTAAAGTGGTCATTATCAACGCGAGACTGTCTCGCATCGATAACATTAGAAGTGGGCGAAACACGTGTTCGCAGTAAACAGGTTTTGTGGCAGGTATTCAGGATGAGTCTTTTTGTGGTTTATTTATTCCTTTACCATGGTTTTTATTTTTGTTTGATATAATTATTATTTGTAAATTTTCGGTTTTTCTTTCGTTTAATCGTTGTTCAACAAGTGTCGCGAGAGTTTCAATCAAATTAATATTTTTTGAAAGCCCTATACCTTATTTCATACAATTCGTCGTTAGTTTTTGACTGATAACTAAGCAGTAGGTATCTACAATATGTAAAACGTTTTAGCTTCTATTTGTATTACAATTGAAACTATTCGTTTGAAGCAAGTGTAGGCGTCGTTCGTATTCCCGCCATTTTTTCGTGACATCTCTGAACTTGGACGGATGTGACTAATAACGTTCCATCTCATTATTCATCTTCTCGACGACTTGGTTTTTTTTTTTATTGGAATTGGCCGGTCATCAGTCTCGTTAATTAAAAATAATTTCTGTTACTGTGAAGTATGCTGAAAAGTACACTGGTTACGTACGTTATACTTTTCTCGATGGATTTTCTATTGTTTTTCTATTTCTTGTTGGTTTAAAATTTGTTTTCCGCAAACCGGATCTACCTTATCGTCGATGTGGGTCCATTTGTTCATTTTTGTATTTTTTTTATTGTACTTTTTAGAATAATGTAATTCATTAAATAAGTTCATTGTCCAATTAAAATTCTCACGTATGTTTTATTGAGAAGACCTGCGGCCTTTTCAAATTTAACCATGCTCCGGCAAACAACTTGATGGCAATATTCTTATAAATTAAGTTGCAAGGTTGCTCGTGTACCTCTCGCAACTCTTTTAACAATCATGACTTTGTTTTTTCGTTCTATAAAATCCGAAGAGATACAAATCACGAAGTTTATCGCAAGAAGGAAACCAATACATATTTATAGGCTCTTCAATTTATCACTTAGTTATAAAAATCACCGGCACTACGCATAAACAACATTCATTTTTAGAAAATTCTTATCTAATCGTGGAAATATTCGCACGGCGATATGAAAACTCTGGTACACATGTTATTATATGTATAGGTAAATATCTACTGCTTTCTTATGCAATCGATTATGTAAGCTAAACTTAGAAATTCTGATAATGAAATGACATAAACGGGGTGTTTCTCTGAAACAGCGTTTCCTGAATTTTTTGCTATTCTTGGAAATAATACATGTGTCAAATAAATAAAGAATTCATTGAAGATAATGTATAAATTGAACGTATATTCTATATCTACAAGGTGTACAAGGTACTATAGGGATGATACTCAATTGCATGCCATCGGCAAAGGGTGGCGTCGTCTGTATGAGGTGGTAGAGGGAAATTCGTACAAATAGGTACCTTCAGCCATCTTTTCAGCGACGTATTTTCCTCGTGTGATATAAAAAAAATGCCAAAAAAGGTAGATGTAATTTCTATGTTCGGTGAACTTTTTGCCTTGCCTGTATAACTAAGATACCGGATATACAGGCAAGGAAAAATGTTCTTCAAACGTAGAAATTACACCTTCGTTTGTTGCAATTCTTCTTTTTTATGTCGCCAATATTGCCTAGTTTTGTTGCGTAAGACGCGCTTGTAATTGTGTAGCTATACAAGGGCGGGGTGTTGTAGCGTATGAAGTATAATAATAATAATAATATTTTGTTGTATGAACAAACCGTAAACGTTGGTCATCGATCCGCGTTTTCCCGCCAATGCGTGCGCACTTTTGTTCGTCGTCCAAGACAACGCCGCATTCGGTCAGCGCATCGGGCGTCGCCGTCCGTCGCACGGCGCCGCAGGAAACGTCGTGGAATTCCATTCCATTCTGAATTCCCCGTATTTTATTATTGCCCCGAGGTTGTTGCATTGCAACGTTGCAACGCGGTTTTTGCATTGCATGCTGATGGCGTTCACGTAAGACTTTGCTCGTCTCCGTTTGAGGCGCCCGATCAAGTTGAATGCACAGCGTACAGTTAGGCGTAAAATACTTGGGTCATGCATATTTCCGGAGAATTCACCTTTTATTGTAAATCCTCGGGAACCGCGCATTGTCAAGGGTCGTTT